CTCTCTGCTCCTACGATGCTGCTTGGCCTGCTGTGTTCATCCAGCCCTGCACCTTGTTGTGGCAGAAATGATGACTGCTTTTCAACTTGTCAGTGTCAACATCAAGATAGCAAGGTGCAAATTGCAAAGAGTGAAACAGAATGAAATTTTATTGTGTGGTTGACAAGTGCAAGATATCAACGTATGCAGGGTCAATATAGCACTGTATTGCAACATGAAATTTGTCAGTGAGGTGTGTGAACGTGGGTGAAATGATTGTGTTGCTGTAACCACAGAGGATGGACTGGTAACCTAGTCAGTTTGCAGAATGGAGGAGGTAGACTGAGCAAGCAGAGTGGAGGGTATAGCAAGAGAGAGTCAAGTGGAAGCCAAACAGGTAAGTGGCCATTCATGGAGAAAGAGTCAATGAGAAGGAGAAAAATTCAAAACACATATTTTTTAAAGAAATCAGTGGTCTATTAAAAAAGGAAATTCAAAACAAGAGTCAGTGGATATAGGCAGGGAATCATACATGTAAACACTGTCAGCCATTATATTGAGTTGTTTGTGAACATCAGTAATTTTTTGTGAGCTTTCTCTTGTTTTCGATCCTCAACATTTTTCATCCTTTTTGCAGCAGAATGCTCCTGGACATTAGACTAAGGCCTCAAGATCATAAATTTACGCAGCAGTTTTTGTTTTAAATGCCTGAAGCAATTGTTGATTGCGGTTTCTGTTGTGGAGGAAAGAGATAACACAAGGCTGAGAATTAATCCTTTCTAGATAATGAAAAATTAGCAAAGGGAAGGGTGTGGGTCAGGGGCTGAAAAATTATCAGCTGAACCATAAAGTCTACTGAAAAAAATAAAATTCACCATACATTCCTGTTGGTTAGAAGAGAGAGGCGGGGCTGTGACATGAAAAATGATGCTTAGAAGAAGGAAGACGATTAGGGTTCATTTGTTCTTTCACAGGATGTGGATGTCGCTGTCTGAGTGAACACTCATTACCTTCTTGAACTGTTGCAGTCCTTGCGGTGTGGGTAGACGCATAATGCTGTTGATTCTGACCCACCAATACTGAAGTAAAGGTGATATATTTCCAAGTCTGGATTGTGTGTGGCAAATGTAATAAGAAATTAAATTAAATAGTTCAAACTGTTACAACCACAGGAAAAAAAAAATGCATTGTCTGGGACACCCAGGATGAATCTGTATCAGGCAAAATGTGAAACCGTGTTTCAAAATGTTAAAGTTATAAAAGCAGCATCAAACAAGAATGAGTGTGACAGGAACTACAATGAGTTTCAATAGAAGCATATTTCACTTCTGCAGTTATAATGAAATACCTTTACGTGTCCATGAATTTGATGTACATGCACTTACATACATATGAATTCAGACATACACATGATGGAATTCAATGCTTCAACAAATGTAAGCATTTTACTTATGATACTTAGAATTGACAAGTTCCTAAGTCTATTCAATTCTTTTTACTGAATTGATTAATGTTCCTAGGCTGGGGAAATGTTAGATGGAGAATAAAATCTACCTTGTTCTTGGCTATTCTCCAGTGGCATCTGTTGAAAAGATTGCATAGTAGAAAAGCGGGTAACAATTTGATAGCCTTGGTTTCTTATCCAAACTCTGCAATTCCTAATCATTGCTTAGACTCACATCCACAAAAGATCACTTGAATAATGAGGCTGCCAGGAATGAGCAAAGGACAGATATTTGGAAAAATGGGTAAATGACCATCTTTTCCTCTAAGAAACAAAAAGCAGTTGATAAATGTCTGGCTGCTGTGTTCCTCCAGCTCCGCACTGTGTTTCTCTGACTATAGCATCTGCAGTTCTTACTATCTATGATAATGATATTTCCTCTCTTTCCACTGACCTTCTCCTTTTAGTGTTTTCTTGCATTTTCTAAAGCATTTCATTGTACTAAAGGTCATAACCCCATAATCTACTTCCTCTTTGTTCATCCACTTTAATAGGTGACTTGTGACTGAGTTACGCCAACAAGACCCGAGCTGATCATGTTCCGCTTATATTCTTGCAACATGTATACATGGCTCAACTTCACTAACAATTTAATCTGAACAACTTTGTTATTTCTTTAAATTAATTCATCAGAAATGTTTTTAATACCTCTTCAAATACTGTAACATTGTGTGAGTTAAGATGTCCAATTTCCTAGCAGATCAACCCCAGATCTGGCACTGATCGGTCCGCTGTTCTTAACTACACTGTAATCTCATAGCCCCATCATCAGGCAATTCCTAAACGGAACTGAAACATTTACAATGATTCCTTTTGTCATTTCCTGTACTCATTTGGAGAGGCAAGGACTGATTAGGGATAGTCAACATGGCTTTTGCACGTGAAATTGTGTCTCACTAACTTGATTGAGTTTTTGAAGTGGTGACAAAGAAGATTGATGAAGGCAGAGCGGTAGATATTATCTACATGGATTTCAGCAAAGTGTTTGTCAAGATTCGGCATGGTAAACTGTTTAGTAAGGTCAGATTACATGGGATCTGGCGGAGCCAGCCAATTGGATATAAAATTGGCTTGAAGGTAGGAGACGGAAGGTGAGGTGGAGGGGTGATTTTTGGACTGGAGGCCTAAGACCAGTGGTGTGCCACAAGGATCGGTGTTGGGTCCACTGCTTTTTGTCATTTATATAAATGATTTGGATGTGAGTATAGGAGGCATAATTAGTAAGTTTGCAGATGATACCAAAGTTGGCGGCGTGGTGGACAGTGAAGAATATTATCTCAGAGTACAACGGGTCCTTGACCAGATGGGCCAATGGACCAAGGAGTGGCCGATAGAGTTTAATTTAAATAATTGTGAGATGTTGCATTTTGGTAAGGCAAACCAGGACAGGACTTATACAGTTAGTGGTAGGGCCCTGGGGAGTGTTGCTGAACAAAGAGACCTAGGGGTGTAGGTACATAGTTCTTTGAAAGTGTAATTGCAGGTAGATAGGGTGGTGAAGAAGGCATTGTCCCTGCTTGCCTTCATTGGTCAGTGCATTGAGCATAGGAGTTGGAACATCATGCAGCTGCTGTACAGAACATTGGTGTAGTCACTTTTAGAATACTGCATACAATTCTGGTCACCCTTCTATAGGAAGGATGTTGTTAAATTTAAGAAGGTGCAGAAAAAATTTAAAAGGATGTTGACAGGACTGGAGGCTTTGTGTTGTAGTGAGAGGCTGAATAGCCTGGGGCTATTTTCCCCTGAAGTGTTGGAGGCTGAGGGGTGATCTTTTAGAGGTTTATAAAATCCTGAGCGACATGGTAGGGAGAATAGCCAAGGCCTTTTTCCTAGGGTAAGGGAGTCCAAAATTAGAGGGCATAGGTTTAAGATGAGAGGGGAAAGATTTAAAAAGGACCTAAGAGGTAACATTTTGATGCAGAAGGTGGTGCATGCATTGGAATAAGCTGTCAGAGGAAGTGGTGGAAACTGGTAAAGTTACAACATCTAAAAGGTATCTGGACGATTATATGAATTGGAAGGGTTTAGAGGGCTGGCAAATGAGACTGGGTCAGATTGGAATGTCTGGTCAGCGCGGGTGAGTTGGAGTGAAGAGTCTGTTTCTGTGCTGTGTAACTCTATCACTCTATGACAACATTTTCATTTTTGGAAGAGGATAAGACATTTCTTTACTATTTAAGAGAGGAAAAGACTTACATTTGAATAGC